ATTGAACCCTCTAGCCGTTTCACGAATGCTATAATGGATTGATTAGTTGAATGTTGAACCCGATAGCCGTATCCGTTTTGAAAAGGCGTGGATCATTGTTCAAATTAGAAGTCCATTTCTGAAGTCCAATAAGATTGTTCTATTTGACGAGGAATCCTGAAAATGAACAAACTGCACTGTAAAAACACTGAGATAACAGTCGATCGCAAATATTAACGAAATGTAAAAAGTCTTGCGATGGCTTCGCCCGTAAACTATTTTTTTCGACGATGAATACACACAAGCATTTCTACAAGTTCGTCAAGATGTAAATAGGCGAAACAAGCTCTCGATAATATAGCATTCTATTTACAACATTTACAAAAAGTTCTACACAACACTCGCACTCACCTTTCCCCTATGTCTGACGCCATGTTCAAATAGTTCCAATCTACCATCGCGTGTTTGCATAACCCAATCAGAAATGGACTTCTGATTTGAACAATGATCCGCGCTATCGGGATATATATTCGCTAACGAATACGGCTATCGGGTTCAATATTCAAATAATCAATCCATTATTGCATTCTTCAAACGGTTAGCGGGTTCCAGGTTCAAATATTCAATTCGTTATTGCGCTCCTGAAACAATTAGCGGGTTCAATATTCATATAATCAAATCATTAAGTATAATGTAATCCTGAGGGGTACGCTTCACTTAGTTTGACTGTAAATGAATATATTAAGTACGTCACATAGCTCGGAAAACGGTGAGCGAAAAAATCGGGAAAAAGTGCTTTTCTTACTCTATTTTGCGTCAAAAGCCTTCAAGTATTGTGTGCTAACTTAACTTTATTTCCAGCTTGAAATCAGTAAGTAATTTTCCTCCGGAGAAGATATTAGATTCTAGCATAAAAAAAATACATGGCCGCAGTCACCGTAGTTGCACGTGGAATTGACGAGACAAGCAATCCTGTGCAGTTAAATGGCTTTTTTTGGAAAACATTTTATTTCTATGATTTGATTTCTCAAAGCGCAACTTTACCTGTCTGTTGACTTGTTTCTCTATTTGTCAATCTACATTTTTTATCTTACTATTTTTCAGCGCTGGATATCTTTCAAGGTTTTAGTTTGAACTTTGCGAGAACTATAGGACGCGCAGTTGACAAGTTGTGAGAATGGTTCAAGGGTTCATTCACACGGGCAGTTTATTTTTGGAAAGCAAAGCTTGAGATTGTTTCGGGGCAATGCGGCTTTCCAGGAAAACCGAAGGTGTAATTTGGATGTTACTGAAAGTGGTAGCGGGGAACGGGGAACGGAAGTACAGCGGTAACCCACCTGAGAATTCAAAATGGCGGAATAAACGATGTTTACAAACACTGATTTTATCGCTAGGTCGCCGCTTGCAGCGAAATTAGACGACTCGCTTTTATTTAACTATTGCCCAGGCGAAGCCACGAAGCCTAGTATTCCGAGGCAAGAATTCGATGTCAACGTTTCTGCAATGGCTGCCACCATTTGTTCTGACGTCTCTCTTTGTTTTTCCTTCCTGAAATCTGCA